AAAGCTACTTTCAATTTGAATAGATGAGTAAGCTTTATGTGCCACCATCATAACTTCAGGGTGATCAAGTACTGGTGGGAGATCTTATGCGATCCATGACGATTTTGAATTACAAGGCCGTTGAGAGCACATTTGAAGAAGTTGCTAAGTAAGTAGTTTTGTTTTGTAATTTGTTCCTCATTCCTTGTAAATTGCAGAGATTTTCGCGGAATGTGGATGTCTGCAGTGGAGTTCATCGACGCAGAGACTGCACTTGGAGCTGAAGCTGCTCACAACCTTTTCACATGCGAAATAGACAGGGGAGCGGACAATGCTGACGAGAAAAGAAGGCTCGCAGTAAGTCATTTCTAGTCTTTTCTTTCAAAGGCATGTTGTTAAATAAAACACGCTTGCGGTACAGCGGTTGCCTACAGATTTTGGCTCCTTTCTAGTGCGAAGCGTGATTGAAGTAGTAGATATATAGATAGATAGATATAGATTTATATATAAGATATAACGAATACAGATTTAAGGTATTGCTTGAATTCTTATTTAGGAAGCAGGAATGTTTTATCTGGGTGAAATGGTGAACGTTTTTCGAAGAGGATCGCTTGTTTCCAGCCATGTGGACAACCCTCTGCCGATTGAGAAACCAATACTTTTTGGTACCATTGACGGCACTATTGGACTTATAGTCCAGCTCCCCGAAAAATATTTCAAGTATGATTCAGTATTCTACTTCATTTCCTTTAATTAAGACTATGTACTTCTTAAATTCGATGTATACCATCAAAAAATCGAAAGAATTCTCGTTTAGATTTTTCTCCGAAGTTGAAAAAGGTGTGGCTAGAGAAACTGATAACTGTATGAGGATTGATCATGCTGTTTATCGCCAGTTCACTAGTGAGAAAATTGTAGATAAGGTATGCGAATTCTAACATGCTGGCTGGTCATGACCGTAATCATATTGTAGGCCGTCGGGTTTGTGGATGGAGATCTAGTCGAGTCTTTGCTCGATATGCCTCACGAAACAGCTGCAGCAGCATTGGCTGGCATACAACGACCAGGTTAGTTTGAAGCAGATAGCAGTGAAAAACCTCTCGAAATAGCAAGAATGTTCAAATGTCTCTCGGCAATCTTAATCATCGCAAAATTCATATTTATATGTTGCACCGTTTTATAATCACTATACATGATCACAATAGTGGCATTAATTTTGACTAATGTTATTATATTTTAGTTACAAAATCTTTCCTTACGTCACGGTAGGATTGGCTGCGGCCACTTAAGCTTTCCGAGTGCAATATATTAATGGATGCTCCTCGC